TATATATAAAAATACGTATATCTGGGTTTTTTTCCTTTGTGTTTACTATGGTCATGGTCTCAGTCTCTTCTGGTGAGGCAGTTTTTATGCTTCATATCGGTGGTATAAAAATGCTGTTTCTCAGATCAAGTGACCAAATTTCTAGAAATAGTAATTTTTGATTATGTAGGCTAATGGTGGACTACCTTTTTTCATGCTAGTGACTGTCTTTATAGTTTTCACTTATTAATAAATTATATCATTTGGGCCAATTTAAAGTAATTTGCTTTAGTTTCTTAATGTATTGAATAATTAACCCAAAAGATAGGCTGTATCTAATATTTACTTTTCCCCTGTAAATCAAGATTGTAATGTCCATGTTGCCTTTTAGAAAATTGAGAAAATCTGCAGCTATAACAAAACTGCTCAATATCCACTCCCCAGTGTGATATCATTCCCATGGGTTTTAAAATACATTGGTATCAGCAATTAAGTTGGTATGTTCCAAGTTTAGCACTTCCAGCTGGAAAAAAATTTTGTGCATTGTGATGGCTGAAAGATGCATTACCTACAGATCATTCTGACCCTTGAGTCTATAGGCTTCGGTAGGAAAGTATTGGGGCCATTTCACCAAAAAATCTTAAGGTACCTGAAGGTTATACTGACAGTCACTTCAGCTTTCTCTAGCTACCTTGCTAGAACTCCCTCTTTGTAAAATTTAATTTTTCATCAGTCTTCTAATGTGCAAAACCCAAGGATAGTTGCTGCAGCATTTTTCTGTGCTATTTCAGTCAGTCTGTTTGAAGTGCTGTGGGATATAGTTCTATACAAGCTTCTTTATATTTAAAAGGATAATGAGTACATGCTTAGTACGTACATACTGATGAATTGGGGCCAGAAGCTTTTATATATGAAAAAAAAAAGTGGACCTGAAGGCTGTCATAAAAGCCCACCTAGTGTACCTTTGGAATACCAGTACTGCTTTAAGAATGCACAGCTTTAAGGCAATTAATAATATCCTAAAATCATAGTGAGGTCAAGTTTCCATGTGATTCATCCTGACCTTTTGATTTACAAATATGCATCGCAAAAGATCCCAACATAAAACTGTAGTTTAGCTCTGTATCTAACCTTTACACAAAGCAACCAAATTCACACTTCGGGATTTCCCCCTCCGAAATGTAATGAAGTGCTTGTTTTTCATATCAGGCAGCTTACAAGGTATATTTAATACATGTCTCCAGTGTTTCACATAGCTAATTACTGGGTGTAGTTGCTTGTTAGCTTTTGTAAGGTGTCATTCCATGGTTCCGGGATCTTGGTATCCTCCAATGAAAAATAAAATCTTGCTAACAATCTTTTATCCCTGGCTAGTATATTTTCCCAACAGAATGATTTGTGTTTAATACACATAGATGCTGGAGGGACAGGCAGGACACTGCCTAAGTGTTCAGTGTTCCCTACGAAAAGCTGCTTTCTTCAAATCCAGCCAAAGTGAAGGAACAGAAGATGACCACAGCCACAATTAGCTTCCCTTTCACAACTGAAATGTATTCTACAAAATATAACCAATGTGATTGAGAAAAAAAAAGAATTAATTGGACTGTCTTCTATTCATCCTGACAACGTCAGGCATAGCAATGGGTATCTTGCTCTTGGTACCTATTGTATATGCTAGCAAACAACATACTAGTATTATTTCCATGATCAAATAATTATCATCACTTACCAATAAAAAAGCAGGGCTAACAAATTTCCAGCACAATCTCCAGTAGAGGCCTGGCTTGAAGCCCATCATTTGTTGAATATCTTCACTGAATCTGTCCACACCTAGAAGGGTTGTGAACATCAGACTGGCATAAATCTAAACTGATAAGATGCTGGCATACCTAAAACCATCTGCTTTTTCAGAAAGCAGACATGAATGATTTCCGAATCAGAAGACATATAACAACATTGAAACTCCTTTCAGTGACTAGATATGTCTTTGACATCACTGTATCCAAGACTTAAATGCCTGCAAGTGCTTAAGGCCTGTTGCAAATAGCATTACCATTGAAAAGTGGCATTTCACAAATATCTAAAATTTAAGTTGTGAATGGGGGACATGTTTTTTAATAGTTGTGAACTGTTGTAACTTAATGACTCAATACAATTATGACTACACTGAAGGAAAAAGCAGACCATTACTCACACAAACTGCTTACTGATAATGAGGTAGATTCTTAATTTATCAAAGGAGGCTTACTTGTTCCTCTTAATGGCATGCTTTACTTTCAGTGTTTCACGGAGTATCACGGAATGTTCATTATATCTATGACAAATGTAATTTCATCTTTTATCAACTTTCCAAGGAACTAGAGAGATGCTTTTTCTGTTCAATGTAAATGTGTGCAAAACAACATCAGCTAGGAACAGGTGGCCTTTTTTTAGAGTATCCTGTGTGGTTTTGAAAATTATAATACCAACTAGAATTTTCTAAAATTGTTATCTCTGTATGCATCTAAATACTTGGTAATGTAGCTGTTGTTAGATACTTTAGAAGATACATGATCTGTTCATGTGAGTAAAAACCAAGAGTAGTCGGAATTTTTACCTGCTGCAGTAATTAAGACGGCAGAGGATAACATGAAAATCGTTAAATTAAGACATAGATCAAAGATAAGTCCTGCTAATTGTACCAGGAATATAGAATATGGGTTTAGGAACATGGATGGCTTGATTATTATAATAACCTTGACAGTAACATACAATATTTCATTACAAGACTTTATAAAACTTAGCATGGAAGAAGTAATGTACAAGATCTCTATTGTCAGGAAAACTATATAACAGTATTCCATTCAAAATCACTCAAACATTAGCTAACTGCAGTGAGATTCACTGCAGTGCAGAGAAATGGAGACATCAGGACAAAGTGTTTAACAAGTGATGTAATGGACAGAGGGGAGAAGAGCCACAAATACCAAGTTCTGTCTTTAATATCCCTTGAGTCCATCTTGTCTGAGATTTTGTATTTGTGTGCATTTAGTACTTATGTCAGTGGAAGTATTAATAGCTATAAAAACAATGTAAATAGTTGCATCAGAAATGTGTTCCCACAGGCAATGCAGAAAGGAAGATCCTCTGACCTTGTTGACTCCCCTTCATAAACACTATATAGACTGTGACTTCAAAATCAGAATAGGTCATGCTATGCAGGCCAAGGTGAAAACAAAAAAGTCTGCTGTCCTGGCTTCCTGAGGACATACCAAATTCTTTAACAGTGAATAAGGAAGAAATGGCATTTCTGTCAGTGTCTTTTAATTCCTTATGTGTTTTACACATTTAAGTAAGTGCTATGAATTCTGTGTCTGAAGCACTGCACAAGTATAATGTGATTTCTGTGAGTGGCACGAGCCTTCTCTAGCTAATAATTTTGAGATGTCTACAAGGATATCAAGCTGTCTCTATGTGAGAAATGTAAATTTTTTTACTCTAGTAATATTAATTCATGTCAACTCACATCCTTTGGACTTGCTGGAAATAGTCTAGTCTTCAGTGGGACATTTTCTATCTTCAGTATTTATTGGAACACATTTTTGCATTAAGTAATTTACTATAATTTACTATGCAAAGCAAACATGCATTTTATAGTGACTGTAAAACCTCTATTTAAATGGTAGCTTCTTCCCACCTTTTTAATTTATTCTATTCTGGTTGGACTTACCAGTGTGCGGTATGTTGCAAAAGTTTAATCTAAGCTCACGCTATTTTCCCCACTGTATTTTAGAATGGGATGATTATCACTGATATAAAAATGGAGAATAAATGTCCTCAGTTTTCTTTGAAAAGAAAACAATCTCTGACTTTCCGTCTTAGAGGTACTGTCTCACAGAGAATTAGTTCTCTAGTGCAATCTGTCATGTCAGACTACTAGGTTGTAAGTTACTATGCTTGATGTGTTCAGGAAGTTTACTTTTAATCCTGAACCCCATTAGGTAAACAGCAGAAATGCAGCTTTTTGCCATGTATATTTGTTCATTAGAGAGGATGTATAGTTTACCGTAATAATTGTTTCTCTTCAAGTGAATCAGTTCAGTAGGATGTATTTAATGTAAATAATTAGGACAGCTTGAGCTAGTCCTTTACGTGCGGCCAGGATGTAACGTATTTACAAGGTCTGGACATTTGAGTGTGAACTTCTCTTTGATTTCCACTCCCCCAATATTATGTACAGGTGACGAAAAGTAGCTGAAAGAATCTGCAAATGCTCTTTAAATTTAATCTAATTCTATTTACAGTGCCTTCTGTGAACTTTAAAGTGACTGATTTTCAACTGCTATGAATACTGAGTGAAATTTATCATCATGCAGAAGGTCAAAGACAAGAACTAGGTATCTCCAAAAATTTTATTCATAGGTTTCCAGACAGATGTACCTAGAGATCAGGCAGTTCTTGGTGTTCAATTTCTGCTCAAAATGGGGGATAGGTAGGACATGATCTCAGACTGCTTTTTCAACAGCATGCTTTTTCAATACTGTATGTGTTCAAATAACGGTTCTAAGAGTCAAGCTGCAAAGTAGAACATAGCTATAGCTACAGGTGAGGGTAGCTGTAGGGCTTGTTTTTTTCCAGATCTTGAAAGCATTTACTCATTTTTTTGTGATTCTGTAGGACAAACTGAAACTGTGGGTGACTTGATTAATTACAGGAAAGAACTGGTGTACCACAAACAAAACTCCAGATTACTTGTTGGAGACCTGTTGAATATGGAAATAATTTCCTTGTTTTTCCAGTGAAAAACAAGTAAGAGATACTTAAAATTTATGATCAGGTCCTGCTTAAATACACTGAACCCAAAGAGAATTTCAGTGTGATTTCTGAATTAATAAACACTGTAGCTGCCTGAGAATGTCACCGCTGTAATGGTCTATTAAATGGCACAGAAAATTTGTCCTGTTCTCTATGAACGTAATATTGTGTTGTCAAGGGACTTAAATCAATATGCAAAAAAGAACAGATTAGGAAGAAAGTGAAAGTAGATTTGGCTATAAATGGAAGTTACCCTCCTCACATTGGGACAACCTTCTTTCATCTTGGTCAGGCAGAGATTAAAGATCAGATAGAATGAAAGTCTATGTGTTACCAGTACCTCCTGCACTCACTGCCTGCTGGAACTTTCTAAGTCATTTTGGTGCACAGGCTCAGCCAACGGCTCTCAGAACCACTCACTTGCACAGAAGCCCTTGACCAGGTTCTGGCCCTGAGGTGAAACTACTTGGTGGACATAGCTGAAATAATTTGTGGACATATTTCCAAAAAGTAGTGTTACAGCTTCACCAATCATTAGGATCCCTACAAGCAATCTTTGTATGTGTTGTTTTCCCCGCCTGTCTTGTTTAATTATGCGATGTATAGTATTCTGTTATGTGCTTGAATTTTTTTTTTCAATTTGGAAAGTAAAAATTAGTAATATTGCCTTTAATGCCACATATGATTTAAATGAATCCTAGAAATCAAATGTCAGCACTGAAATAGTATAGTAGTAAGATAAAAGGTGTATTGAATCAACCTTGAAGTTATTTTGCACTTAGTTCCCTTTTCCTGTGAATGTTACTTCACTGGTTTTTCTCCCATATTGAGTTTTACTTGTGTGGACAGTCGTAGCGGTGTATGAGCTCACACATAGTGAAACTGCTTCATTGATCCATCCTATATTTTGGCCCTTGGGAATTACAGTAAAACATGGAACCATCAAATCATTCCTGTTGTAGGAGTTCTTGGAAAGTCTCTAGCTCAGTCTCTTCCTCATATCAAGGTCAGCACAATTCAGAACAGCTTTCTCATGGCTTTCTCCAGCTGGGTCTTGACAAAACCTCCAAGAACAGAATCGGCAAGCACTCTCTGGGCAGATTGTTCCAGTGTGTAATTATCCTTACACAGAAAAATGATTTTCCTCCTTTCAATTTGATCACGGTCTTCTGTCCTCCCATTGTGCACCTTAGTGAAAAGTCTGATTCTCTTGACAACTTCCTTATAGGTATTAGAACGCCACTGTCAGGTCCTCCCTAAGCCTCCTCCAGGATAAATAAGCTCAGTTCTTTCAGACTTTCTTCACAGGGCATGTGCTCCAGCTCCTGAATGTCTGGTGGCCCAGCACTGGACTCTTGCCAGTTTAACACCACCTTCTTTTACTGAGGGTCAAAAACAGGACACAGTATTCCAGATGCAGTCTAACAAGTCCCAAGTAAAAGTCACCATTTCCCGTAATCTCCTGGTTATGCTTCTGCTGTTTGCCTTCATATCCTGGCAGATCACTCTTCTGATTTGTTTAGTCTGCTGCCCACATCCCCGACCAGCTTATGTTTGAGTGCAAGTAGCAGGAAATCCAGATGAGTGTCACTTCTGGTTTGCCCACCTAGCATCTATGCTAAGAAGTTGCTCCTGATACCTTCATCTGTAAGAACCAGGGTCTGATCTGGACTTGCATAAAGAAGGCTTCTTTCACTTCCTGACCCTGATCAGGTGCTCTGTAACAATATTCCCCACGATGCCACTCTTGCTGGCCTCTGCCCTGACCCACAAGCACTCAGTCATCCTGTCATTCATTGCCTACATCTGAGTTGCTTTTCTGCACATAAAGATGACACCTGCTCACTGCTTCTGTCCTAACGAGCATATATTTATCAAATGTAGAACCCCCAGTCATACAAGCCCTCAGCCAGGAGAAGATGGGGAAAGATACTGTTTTTTCACACAGTTCAGCAATCATTGGTATTGGGAACATGAGAAAGAAGGGATAACAAGAATATAAAAGCCATTGTATGGTGTTCATTTGCAAATCCTACAGAGCACAGAACAAGGTATCTGTTGATTAGCCATGTAGTGAAGTAACAACAACTGTCCCTTTTTGTTCCTGAGTCTCCTAACTCTGAAGCAATATTGATACTTATTGGTGGTGACCCTCACCTGATGGCAGTAAGGGAAGAAGCCATCCTGGTACCATTCCCAAAGAAGGGCAGCTGTGCTGGTATAAAAGCAAGCAGAACAATAGGAAACATTTCCCCACCATGGCAGTGCAGTAAGCTCTCCAACTGGGTTTGCCCCGTTTGTATTTCCATTCAGTGGAAATGTGTGTATTCATACTTTGTGTCTCATACCAGGCACGCATCCATACAAAAGTATCTGTGAGCAAAGATGAGTACCAGCAGTCAGTACTTCTTGATTTCTTTCCCTTTTTCAAAATCAAGCTGTCACCTTTGCCTTTATATGAAAAGAAAATCTTCTTTTGATCTGAAATTTCAGTCTAAGGAATCATTTTTTGAAATTATTTAAGTAAGTGAAAGCAATGAGATTACAGGTGAGGATGAAGATCATTGCTAGCTCATACTGAGCTTATTTTAGTCATTCAGGGAGGTGCTCACAGTAAAATCTGACTGAATAGAGACTTTCCTGCAAGTGAAACTGCAGGGCAGTTTTGTGTCAGTGAGAGATGAGTCCGGCTTCTTTTAGAATATTTATCAGAGGGATGATATCAGGTTTGCACAAGAGGAAAAATGGTAACAAGCTAGCAGTCATAACAAAAATACATCTGTGTAGCAAACTAACTAGCTCTCCCTTCTCTTACACATACAATTGGTCTTTGCAAGAAGAAACTTCACAGTAAGTGGTCATAGGTATAATTTGAAGTAAATTTCCGTGGTTTTGGTCTGTGCCAAAATGTCAATGCTTGCCTTCAGGCTGGCTTAATATTCATCTGGGTCATCAAGGCAACTGGGGTCTATCAGAAAAAAAGAGGTAGACAAGACTATGCCAGATTTAATCAGATTAAATAGCACCTGGGGCTGTAATAAATTCTTTATAAAGCAACAGGTCATGCTGTGTCAGTAAAAATATCTGTTAGCTGCTTAACACAAATGAATAGATATTTTCCTGGTTGTGGGGAGGCAGGAGGGAGAAAGGAAAGGATGATGAAGGACAGAAGGCACAACAAATAAAGAAAATTTGACTAACCTTAGCTTAGTCTGTGAACCATATACAAAGCCTAGCTATTGTAAAATGCAGTAAATCCTATTTTAATAGTAGCAGAGAATAACTTGCCCTTACTAACTGAAGAATATTTTTATGCCTCTGCTTCCAAGCTAAGATGTGATCACTGTCCTGCATTCAGCTCTTTTACAGGGATTAAGGATGGTTGTCTGTGAAATATAGTGCCTCCACTATTTTGAGGGAGAACAGCATATGAGCTGCTAGCTCCATGCTGATGTTGGGTGGCAGAATTAGTACATTAAAGCAAAACTATTTCTTTAGTAGATTGAACAGCTTTATGTATGAATGCCATTCTTTCACCTCATTCATTCATCAATAGTTTTTAACTCTAAGAAAGAGTTTGTTCGACTGGAAGAATATGGTGGCACAGAACAGATGGATAAATAAGTGACTGAGGGAGGTAAATGGCAATAAGAATGATAGTGTCTAAGATCCTTCTGAATCATACATTAACTATAAACACTATCTCTGAATAGAAATGAAGATGACTTTCAGGGGAAGAAAAATCTTATTAGGAATCAGGGCAGCTAGTTCAATACAGACTTCAGTGGGAAGAAGATTTGCAGGCTGTTGTGACATTGAAACCTGGTAATAATGAAAAGTTTTGACCAACCAGGAAGTATGACATGAGAATTAAGAGGAGACCTGGAGGAAAAACTTTAAAAAGACACTTGATTAATCTAGAGCAAGCAGTTTCAGATATAACTGATAGTTTGGACTGTTGCAGTGAGATTTGTATAAGACATAAGATGCAGAATACTATTGCTTTATTTGGAAAAAATGAGATAGTCTTTAGTAAACCTGTCTATGACAAGATAAAGAACTGATAGCATTCTCCCCAAAAGAAAAAGGAAGAATCGCTTTCACTGTTTCTTTAGCAAGTTATGCCTAATTCAGATTAATTTTTTTTTTTTCTGCTTGATTTGGTGACTTAACAGCACTTCATAATTTCTGCTCTTCTGGAGGTGGCATCTTTTCCAGTGAATAAGCTTGAGGCTATGAATTGCCCTACCTTCCTATATGATAGAGGAAATTTGGAACTCTTGGTCAGTGCTAGAACGTAAAAAGAACTCCTCTAGGTTGGGGGCATAAGGGGAAAAGGGTGATGTTTGAAACACTGACTTCAGATATTTAAAACCACTTAATCTAGTAAAAGCTGAATTAGGCATGGGGAGAACACCCAGAGGCCAGATACTCTCTCATAACTTTATAATCAGAGGTTCAGCCGGCTACATATAATCAAATATTTCTACTGTAAGCAATATTCTGTTTAACCTTTTCGTTTCACTTCTTTGAGAGTAGTAGTAGTCAGCTTTGTCGCTTATAGCAGCGGATTGGGTTTTCTTCCGTGGTGAAATTAGACAACACAGGATACTTCACAAGACTGTAAAGTTCCTGTAGGCTAAGGACTGAGCTCAGGCAGACTCGGTGTCCTGTTATTTTGCCAACGTCAGTATTGTGGCAGAAAGCACAACTTCACTTTGTTGGGGTTTTCCCAGATAAGGCTATCCAAGTGCATTCATACGGGTTTTAGAGCAGTGAATGTGGCTGTTTGCCATCATTGTGGTCATTTATACAGGGTGAAAGAAAAAAAAGAAAAAGGTTTTCTTCTTTCGTGTGACAGTTGTGTATCAAGTGTCTTGCTTTTTATTTATGTTACTTGAAGGAGGAGAAAAATATTAAGGAGCAAATAGGGCCAGAGAAGTTATTTAATAAACAGTACATATCATCTGAGACCTGACTTAAATTGTGACCCATATTTTTTTCAGGGTACTGTAGCACATCACTGCACTCTGGTTGGCATACAATAATTCCAGCCTAGTGCCAGAGATCAACTGAATACTCCTAAAGCTTGCTATATTGGGGATAAAGCGTATTACTGTACCCTTTTTGTGGCATAAATCAATATGAAATAATAGAAATAGTATTACTTCTGGTATTCCATACTATGCTATGGAATAAGGTAAATTTTAAGCCACTAGTGTTTTGCAATTAAGTAGAATACTGTTTCAAACAAAAGGGACTAATGTAGGAATTATTATAACTCCCTAAAGACAAACTACGTTTATTTGTATTGTATGGCGGGGAGAGCTTGAGATTGACCCTGGGGAAATCATGGAAAGGAGGAACAGGTGAGTCTGTATTTAGGCTAATCTACTTGCTTTCAAAGTACCAGGTATAAACCTGATACTGCAAGTCATCAGCTATGTTAAGAGCTGCAAAATACTGCCAAAAGTAGCAACACTTCTGTCCCACTGTAATCTCCTTCACAAGGCAGTTTTCTTTGGCTTTGTGCAGGGTTTCACAGCTTGGCTCACTGAATGTCTGCATTCCTGTCACTATGCATAAATCAGATGAAAATCACTGTATGAAACCTGGCTTGTCATGGTTTCATATATACAAGGCTATGCTGTCCCTTGAAACAATGTGTAAGCCTGCCATGAGCACTTGGAGTTTTAGAAAAGATTTTGCAGGTGCTTACCGTAAAACCAGGAAACTCCAATTGCCTCCATTAGAACAGCAAACAATATCGAAGTCCCAGCTGCAAATGTGTCCAGAAGTGTGAGCACATAAATTCCACCCTAGCATTGGGGAGTTAAAAGATGCAACAAAATGAAGTTACAAATGGAATCATCTCAGTAGTTTAGCATGTAGTTAACAGAAATCTGCTTTACTTGAAACATTATCTTAACCCAAGTATTTTAATATGGAGCTGATGCTGCAGACAGAGGTTCATATTTGCATACAAAATAGTGGAATCAGACTTGCAACTCTTCTAAAGAGGCTTCCTTTCACCTATGTCCTCACTTAACTGGGAACCAGAAGCCTAGGCTTAGCATGATGAATGGGTGCTCTTGGCACTTAGTGTTCACTGGAAGTTGAAGGCACTGTGTGGGGAAATGCTCAGCGGCTTGTAAGACAGGGCCTGCCTGCAGCAGTTAATGAAGATCTTCCTAAATTATAGGCAGGAATGAAGTGCTACAGGAGTTCCCAAAAGCCATTATCACTCAGTTTGATCCTAAGGCAAATTACTCTGTAGTGCAGTGAATCTGCTTAGACTGATGTCTCCTTTTCCCAGGCTGCCTGTATCTCTCTTCCAATGTTCCTGCAAAGGGAGTGGTTGCATATTAAGTCTCTGTTACCAGCCCAGCATGGAAGCAGCTTTGCCCTGTTTAGTTTCTTGGCTGCGGTATTAGCAACCCTTTGCTCCATGGAGAGCAAACCAGATCACCTCCCTTCACAACAGCACATTTCTGTGCTTCGCTGGTTCGTGACTGAGAACTGTAAATGCAATTACTAAAGTCTGGTTTCACTGATAATTCTTTTTAGCTGCAATTTGACCATTTTGGCCTCATTTTACAATGTGGTATGAATTTGTATAAATTACTGCTCATTTTCTTTAGTTCGGGCTGATGAGGAATGGAAGACCATGGTATGTTTACTTGTTTCAAAATGAACCTGAATAAAGTGTTTCAGGAAAGTCTTTGTCACATCTAAACAACTGAAATGTTTGCAGTTGCATTAGATTTTCATTAAAATCTTTTACAACCAAACTGGATCTGACTGTGCCTGTTCAGAAGGGGAGGAACAAAGGAATTATTTTCCATGTTTTTACCAATGGTATAAATAACACTTGTACTATTTAGATCTCTAGGTGATTCTAATCTCTCCAATCAATCAGTTTTCTTTTTTTTCTTCTAAAAAGATCGTTTTCTGAAACAGCTGTGCATATTTACAAAAATAGAGAGAACAGTACTTAGGCCTTGTCTAGGTTTTTAATTCTGTGGGGACGTGTCCGGAAGCTGAATGAACTTTGGTTGTTGTGTTAGAAAGAAAATGTTGCTTCTTGAATAACATTTGAGTTTGACCTCTTGTTTTTGCTCTACACCTGCTCTAAATGAATGCTTTTGCTATTAAACTTAGTAAAGTGAATGACAAATACAGTTTTGTAAGAAACATGTTTTGAAAATACAGCCTTAATATTTGAGAGGACAAAATCAAACAGATTAATGTGACGGTATAAGGGTTTTTCTTTGTATTTTGTGCACATTAGAAATGTTGTTCTTCAGTAATGTGAACCAATACATTTGGACAAGTCTGGGCAGTTTTGTGCATTCCAGCTGGTGGGGTGTAGCTAAGTCTATATAGGTGCCGTTATTTAAAAGCTAGTGCTAGGCTGTTATCTTGAACTGCTTTAGTTCACTTGAAGACAGTGGAATTGCACCCAGGTCCTTAACCACCGAGTTTCTCCTGATCTTATACTTCAGGAAATTTTATTCCAGTTGAAACTTTGAATAAGGAAGGGGGATGTTCAACTCTTTAGTTAATAATAGAGACAGCATGGTATTAAAAGGATAGTTATTTAAAATTATTTATCTATTTTTAGCGTCTCAAATGTTTTCCAGTTTGAGGAAACTAGCGTACAAATATTTGGGTATTCTTTTAGTGTAAAAAGAGCTTTTTTATCTATAAAATGATGCCATTTCAGTAATATTAATAATAGGTCTGGAAACCATTTCTACAGAAGGAGAGAGGTTCTGCACATCTACTTCCATGGTGGCTACGTCAAGCTTCATTTGTTTTCTGACACTTTTGGCATCTTTGCTTACAGGGCTTTTTGCTTTTTTGTCTAAAAAAGACCTCGAAAAATCAGAAGTTCTCTCTAACTTAGAACACTCTGATTCTCATCCTTTCATTAGTTGTCAAAAGCCCAGTGAGGCAAATCATTCAGGATGATGGTAGTGATAAATACAGGCTACTAGATGTTCAGGATAAGTTAACTGTGGTTTTTATGGTTTTAAGAGTAAGAGATAAAATCTAGGCACATGAAGGAACATTAAGAAACACATGGGGAAAGGAGATCATTATTCTAAATCTTTTCACAAGAAGTGAATGCTTACTTGCTTCAAGAAGAGAATAGCCTGATGACTAAGAGTCTGGTCGCTTGAAATTCCTGGTTCATCACACAGGAATAAGTACTCAACAGTGTTCCAGTTAATGTGATATAGAAAACCAAAACCAAGACAAGCTACACAAAACTAAATAAAACCAAGCAAGTTCTTTGGAACAAAAACCTGCAGATTCGGTCGATAACTAATGATCTTGTGCAAAAAAAGCAAAGAAGCTTCATGTAATTACTAAAACTACTAAATTACTAAAAGTAATTATCTGACAATAAAGTTGTTTTAGAATTAAAATGTATAGCAAAAATAGTCACCTGAGCCTATTCATATTTCTATATGATGAGGTTAACTGCATTTTTAAGGTAGTTTGTTGATGGAAGCTTTTGTTGTACTTACATTGGTGATGCAAAAAAGTGCAAGTAGGAAAGTGCCAAAAGAAACACCAAAGGTGAAGAGCTTTCTATGCTGCTTCAGAATTTGGAAATCATCTGCCAAGCCAGTGATGACAGCCTCCATTCCGCCCATCTGAGGAAAGGAAGGCAAGAGCTCTGGTTAAACGCTACTGAGTGTTGTAAATACAGACTGAAGAATGTAAAGCAGCTTGTATAATTAATTCCCAGCCTCTGTATGATTTCTGACATTTCATCTGTAAATCACTGATATTCTAAGGCATAACTTATTTTCTCATGGTAAAGAACTGAGTCAGGGAACTGGACACAAAGTGCCATCGTTAGCCATATCCTCTGTGGACTGTTTGCTGACTCACCAGTAAACTAAGTAGTCAGTACTTTGGGAAAATAATATACATTTTAATATACTTTGGGGAAGAAGCTAGTAGCTTAAGTAACCAAGCTCCTTAAGAGATTTCTAAGACAAAGACAGACACATCAAGCATCTAGGGGAAATGTACTGAACAAAGATTCAGTTTAGCCACTGATTAACCAAATCCAGTTTGGCAAAAATCTTTACAGACCTGGAAGAATCACTACATAGGAAGCTTGATGTAGTATTTTTTTTGTTGACAACATGAAAGAATTTTATGTTGTTTTCTATAAGTTAATGCTGAACATCACCCATTGTTTTGCTATTTACCTAATACAAGAAAGTTACTTTCCAAGTTTTCATTGAAATTGCTGGGTTATGTAGGTGGTTATGAATTTTACTTTCTTGCTACCAATGAAAGCATTCTGCCCCCCCTCCTCCACCAAGAAGTTGTAAAAATGAATTCCAGTCTCCTGTTATAATAAATAAATTTATTTAATATTTTGAGGAGGCTGGATTCTATGCTCTTTCTGAGTCTGAAAGACCATGGCAGGACCTGGAGTGCTTGGTGCAATACAATAGTTGGTTAGCAGATGCTGACACAGCCTATCCCTTTCCTATGAGAATTTGATGAAACCAACATCTCTGGTTGAAATCAGTAGCAGATAATTTTCTCTCTAGAATTTGAATAATTCCTGTCTAGAGCCAAATTTCTGGGCACAGTAGATCTGTGGGGTTTTTTTTTTTGAAAGTAACTAATAGTTCACATGAAAAACATCCTAAAACCTAGCATAGGCTTGTATTTCCTAAAGTCTGGGGGAGCATCAGTGGGTGCCCTGCAGTTAAGATGGGTTAATATTTGATGTTCTTAGAAGTTGTTACTGTGTAGGCACTTGAATGGTCTTGGAGAAGTTGAAGAACAAGACAGCTTGGATTATTTTGGCTAAGTACCACTTCTTAATATATCAGGATTTATTCCCCTTGTTAATTCCCTATGCCAAGCTAGATACTTACTCCAAAAAATGTTTGCAAATGTTTGTTCCATTTTCTGTCTGTTCCATTGTTGCTTGCTTAAACTTGCATGATCAGATTTCTCTTTGCTTAAATATTTTGACAGTTCCATTTTTGTAAGGATGTCTGTATTTCTGTGCCAGTCCAGGCTTATATGCGTGAATAAAAGTATTTTTATGTAATTATTCCTCTTTAGCTTTGGGGTAATTTGATTTTTAGCTTTAAAAATTTTCATTTTTCCTTCAGGGTCTTGAGCAGTCAAATGTGGGGGGGAGAGTTGGGAAGACCACCATAAAAAATATTACATGACCTGAGTTTTCTTAGGTAAATAATGAGAAATCCTGACCAAAACATGAACTATCAAATCCCTCCCCTTTTAGAAAGAAAGAGCTAAACTTGTCCACAGTTTATCAGTTCATAGTATTTTAATTAGCTCCACAAGAAAGAGCTTTCTCCACTTGTAGGAAAAGTGTGTTCTGCAATCTAAAGCCCTGTGTCTTTGCCACTCACATTTCTTTACATTGCCTTAAATTGACTGCTGTTGCAAAGTTAAGTGTTTTGGATCTAGCTCATTTTTCTTAGTTTTGCTCTTGTCCATGTCAATTCATTCTTTCCCTTTCTTGTCCTTGAAAATGAATGAAACTTTCTGAAGTTGTAAGCAATGGAAACACTTTTTTTTTTGCCATTTCCAGCAACAATTTCCTAGGTCAGCTCTGTACATTCAGAACTACAAAAGAGACTTCTATGCTTTAGAATAGTAAGAAACCCCTACCCTACCAAAAATTATGAATGTTTGTTCATGGTTTTATTCCTCAAATACCCTGTTTGTTTTTCCCAGAAATTAATCAATCTTTAAGCTAAATATAACAGGATTTTGCGATGCCTCTTTGACCAGAACAAAGCAGTACAAAAGTTGTTAGGGGACTTGGGATATTTTCTGGGCTGAAGTTTCTGTGATTCTGAATGTCATGGTATAGTAGATGTCATCACAGTGTGGAAAGAGCAGACACACTTGTTGGACTAGACATTTTATAGTAGGCATAAAATGAAACCACTATGGAAATACTCTGGTGTGATTTTTAAATTGTGGCTAAATTTACAGGAAATTCTATGTCATTGCATATAGAAAAAAAATCAGACTACCTTCAGACATTGTCTATCTTGAGCATAATTTAATTTCAGCATGTGTAAAAAAATCTCTTCTAGGAACCACTCTACTCAATGTCTTACTGTGGCTTGTATTTTGCAAGCAGGGTTCCAAAACCTTATTGCAGGTTCGTAGTAGTAATAGCTCACATCAGTGATATTGGGTCATACCTTTAAATAGTAATAATTGTTGACGAACAGCCCCTCTGTAAGGTCATAAAAAAGCAGCAGTGAGTAATTATTTGCTGGCTTGTAATAAATTTGATCTTTTCCTAAACCTCTTAAATATCGTGAGTCTTTAAATATACTGCCAGGAGTAATACTATTGGTATGTGACTGTGAAAACAGATTCAGAGACTGCACAGAATGTTTGTTTAAAATGTAATAAACCCTCTGTTTAAGGTTGATAGCTCTCCAGTTACAGAATATAACAGTAAAAGAAAAATGTCAAGGCTAGAAGGAAGAAGTACTCACAGAACTGTCAATGCCAAGAGTAAGGAGCATGATGAAGAATACCACAGCCCAAAATGTAGATCCTGAAAGAGTTGAAATCGCCTCTGGATACAGGATGAAAACTAAACCAGCTCCTGCAATACAAAAGAATAAAAAAAGTATTACTAAATGATATTTCTTAGCTTCATAAAAGTGTTCATTTTAATAAGATAAATTATGACTAAGTTGACTTTTACATCAGTCCACATCACACTGAGTAGCTGTTAAAAGAAAATTTGCATTATACCAAAAATATCTCCAAAATACTTTAATAATGTACTCATGACAGTTTTTTATTTAAAAAAAAAATAATCTACCCCATTCTTTTCCACTTCTAATAATCTTTTATGGTGTTTGCAACCTTACTAGCTATTTTTCAGCTATGTAGTAGTGAAGGAACCGTGTGAATGTGGACTCCACTGTTTGGCAGGAGATCTCAGATGGATGAGAGATAAAGGAACTGAAATCATGGGTGACCTGTTACCAGAGAAAGGACTCTACAGATAGGCTTACCAGAACCATCCAAAACAGCCACCTGTGGCACTGAACAGCAATACTTTCACAAGGTACTATGTAGTCGTAAATGCCTGTTTGTTGCACAGGCTAAACTTGTGAGGGGCAGGATGTTGGGGAACCTCAATTGAGAAGAGGTGAGATCAATCAATACCATTTACAGTTCACATTTCAGCAAGGCATTTACACACAGTTTTTGTTCTAAGTAAGTTAATTCAGGTCACTTAATGAGATTTTCGTACACTTGTTTGAAACAAATATAAACACATTTGTAGAGAAATGGTGGACAAAAAGCGGTAAAACTAGTATGAAATTAACTTCCTACCTTCAGTGGCTACATCCTCAATTTTAACTTTGTGCTCATGAGCCATGTAGCCCAATATTGAAAAAATTGCGAATCCTGAGATGAAGCTTGTGACACAGTTGATGGTACTAGTCAGCAAAGCATCCCTAATGATGGAGAGAAGAACAGCCCAGTGAAAAAAAACACTTTAAGAACTAGATGGGGATTATTTTAGAGGGATAGGAAGATTCTTGTGATAATGCTAATTGTGCAATTATCTTGATGATTAAAAGCTCATATCAGCATACCATGCTAGGGAATTACCTACTTTGGTTTACTATTTTGATTTAAAACCGAGTTCTATTAAAAAAAATCAACAAAGCTATATTAAATATTAAGGTATTAAAGAGTAATGTTGTCATCCTAACCGGGAGCCGTAACATAGCAAGAGAGTGTCCTGAAGTGAGAGAGCATTACTATTCATCAGTTCACATGAGTAGGTATTCAGGAGTATTTTTGGACAAATCCAGAGTGCATTTTTAGCAAACTGTGCTGCCATTCAGATGGCACTGGATATCTATCCTTAATCTGTAATAAGGTCCCTTTGTCTCTGAAGGTGGCTAGGCTTTTCTGAAAAAAATACAACTCTTCTTTATCAGATTGTTACAATAGTGAATTTAGTTTAAAGGTTAAATAATATCCAGTGTGCATCATATAGTAATGATTGTACAAAGTCGTGGTTTTAATCAATCTACCATGGTGTTATGATAGACACATGAGTTTTCCTGGGTATTAATAATCCGTATTACCAAACCTCACCTGAAGATACGTAGCCCATACATCTTTAGATGTCTGCCTAATCTGCACAGTGTCTTGTATGTGATCTTTTGCTGCATATGACCTTCAGGACAGAGGACGTGGCTCTATGAACATCAGTAATGCCAAACAGTGCTTAAACAAGCAGAAAGATATGACTTCCTTTCATCAGTTACAATACCCAAAAACACAGGTGCCATCACCAAAATTTATCCTCATCCTTATATTACTTTATTTTGATAACATTGAAGAATTTGTCCTGCATAAGCCCTTTGAGTGTTTTCCTGGAGGAAGGCTGCAGGATCAAGAGAGACCAGATTGGACCCATAAACTCAAATTCTTTTCAGTTATTAAAGAAGAAAATTGCTAGGCATTTGTCACTGATGAGATGGCAACAGTATTTCTTGTTTCCCACAGTTCAAAAACACTTTTATGCAAGTGAATAATGCTTCTTTTTGCTTAGTCAATAACTGGATTATGTGATGCTTATCTCCATATAAAACTGAGCTGAGATAGTTTTCAGTATTTTGCATGTAAAACTAGATAATAAGTTTCAGATTTTCGTTATTATTACCCTACCTTACATTACTGGCACTATTCCTCCCAAGGAAGGTGTGTTGAAGCATAGATGGGACAGTACAGTGCTGAGTCATGGTCTTCATTAGGAAACTGTACTATTTTCAATTTGTTCTGTTTCATGAAAGCCTTCTGAGCAAAATATGTCAGCACATTATGGAGTTATTTGACCAAAAGAAGGATATCTGTAAGTGTTGTAAATGCTACTGAATTGAAGCTTACTTTTATTTTTAGAACTAAACCACAGTATTTAATGAAACTACAGATTAGTTTAATGGGGAAGGCAAGGCTTATGAAGCAACATTGAACAAATATACTAAGCTAAGAACTAAACAATATCATTTTACATATAGTCTGTGGTGTGTTTCTCAATTTCAAGTGTATTTTTTCCATTTCAGAGAAAAAATTAGAATACAGAAGAAAAACAATATATAGAGGGAGCTGCTATGAGATTAAGGCAAAATTATTTGCAGAAGACGATGGTTGTTATTTTGGAATACTGCTATGACTAGCATTCTAACTGAAGTGTCTCAAACCTGATAATACCACCTATTGCAAAGAATCAGCTGGCAACCTAAAGTTGCTCTGGGTTAAGTACAAAGCTCTCTGAAGTCAGTAGAATTATTCCATGATTTTTGCTTTCAGTCTAAGGCAGTTCTAATTATATATTTTCTTGTACCTTTTTACTTCAACATTTTTTTTGCCACCCTTCAGTTCACAATGTATTTATACTACTTTCTGGATTTATATTTCATGGGAAAATTTAAAGTGATGCTTGTTTTCATTCTAAAATGGAATGTTAACAAAACTTGAGCAGTTCTGGTTGAATTTCCATGGTGGTGATTCAGCAAAACACTTACAAACGGACTTAATTTAAAGTGCAGTCCTAAATTGGAACTCAACATAAAATATCAGAAATATAATTCCAAAGCACAGAAACACTTCTGGAAACTGGAATCCTTCTGCTTTTAGTTCCTGGACCAATAAGATTTTGGCCTGTGTTCACTGTTGCACTTAATGGTACTTTTGAAAGGCAAATACAAGCACAGTTTACACAGCTGTCTAAAGTCCAAATCTAATCCCATTCTGTTTTGCTATACAGCAGATATCTTGGCAGGTTCCTGTTACTAAAATTTCAGTAAGGAAGACAGTGTTTCAAGATTTGGGTTGGTTGCTATGTCTACACAAGACTGTGTAGTCATTAATAAATGACTGAAAATAAAAAGATAGCTTAGTACTTATTCCAGCTGTGGTTAGAGTAGAACAGTATCATTCTGAAGCAGTAATGAAAGAATAGGCTGTCTTACCTGTAACAGTTGTTGTCAAACTTGTTGTAACTGGCAAATGCAATTAAAACACCAAACCCGGCTCCTAAGGAGTAAAATATCTGAGTAGCTGCATCAATCCATACCTGCGTAATGACACCAACATCGTCAGTGTCAGTTCAGTCCAAAAGATACATGCAAGTGTACAAGACAGCTGGCTTTTGAAAGATGATCAGCATTCATGCTTACGGGAGTGTAAGTGCTTCTCAGCCCCCAGGAGATGTCACATGGAGCACAGTCATGGTCTGGAATGGCTTAACCTGAAATGGTAAGGGCCAAAGCAGTGGGCCAGTTCTCAGTGCATGCACACTGCTGCCATGGTGGGGTGTACCAGCTGGATCTGTATTTCTGAGCTTTTAGCAAGTACTGAAATGATTACATGATTTTTCTCCTGGGTGACAGAAATACACTTCAAATAGTTCTTGTTCCAAGTTAGTTTGGAATGTACAACCAGAAAACTAAAAATAGTTAATGGGTCAAGAGTTACAGGACATTTTCTTTCCCTTAAGAGAGCTTTCTTCATGGGGCTGTTAGTTCACTTTATACGATGCTTTCTTGTTTCAGAAGCTGAAGCACAACTTACATGCCATGCACAGAACCATGGAGGTTATCTGTCAGCTTTCCCACTTGGTTAAAGAAGGAGTTATTCCTGTGATTGTCATTACATTTCAGTTTAGGTGCAACTTGGTCATTTTTAGAATTGTCCATTAGGGAAAACATGTTTTTAATGCTGTAACATTTTCTAAAGTGACCCTCCAGCCCAACATCCACTCAAGACATGTAGACAGCAGTCAGGAACAATGCCACAGCACTGCTTTCCTGAATCAGAAGCCTGAAAATAGCCTACCCTGGTTAATGAGGGTTTCACTTGTGCAGTTGTTACACAGTGATATTTAAACAAGCATCTTCAACAAGGGTATTGAAGTCAGTGCCGTGAATAATACTCAACATTTCTCAAAATGAGATCTTCAATGTTTGATTAAATCTGCCAAGTTCTCAAGACTATGAAAAGCACTGGATTTCATCTCCATCCATCTTTACAAAATCACATCCAATATATCTATTCAGCAGTGGCTTTCTAACAGATCTAAGCAGCTTGTGAGCTCCATCTGCATTGGGATTTTGTTGCTAAGCTTTCACATTTGGCCTAGTGCAAAGAGAGTGCCTTATCCCATCCTAACACGATATATAAAAGCACTTATACTAGTGATCTATTTTTTTTCTTAACATAAATGATAGATGTTTTCAGCTACTCCCTGCTGAAGACTGTGAACCATTTATTGAACTCTGGATTTATAGAGAAACTTAATTTTATGAAATGTTGACAGTTATTTACTTGAAAGATAATATGAAGAACAGCCTATGATGTGTTTATTGCAAACCAGCGAGTAGGTGGATATGATTTTTCTCAAATTGCAGTTCATACAGGGCTTTTAGGTGTCATGGATTTCTTTTACTAAATAGCAAAACAATCCTGTAAAATGAATTCCTTGCTCATTTTTTTATATACTCAGTTACATCATAGTGTTTTATCTCCACACAAAGATTGAAATCAAATAGGGTTGTAGTCTCTGAAGAGCATTTATGTGGGTAAGAGTGCATCCTGTAATTTTCCTTTTTTTTTTTAAAAAAAAAAAAACAACTTCCCATAACTTGTGTTGTTAATAAAGTTAACTTTTTAGAATAGATTTTGCTTAAACTATAACTAGATCTGAATGCTGCCACCATAAGGGATTTGGTTTTAGTGGTTCTGTAGCTCTTTTGTGTCTTGCCAGTGGAATTGTACTCATCATACTTCTCCTTTCTTAGTATTCAAGTACTGTTTTAAGCATGTGCTTAAATCCTATTGATTCAAGTAAGAGGTTAGCACCTGCTGCCTACCAAAGGAGTTATGCATATGCTTAAGTATCTGTTGAGTAGAGTCTTGGCTTATAGTAGCTGATTAGGAAACAAATTGAGAAGATCAAGATGAAGGGAAAAAAGACCAGAAACCAGAAATTCCTTTAGAACTAAGATTAAATGCAAAACACTCCCTTTGTTGTAACAGAGCACGATGTGAAACAGTGGGGCTGGTTCTTCTGCAGTTTACACTCATGTTCTCTGCTCACTTCAGCTGAATGACTTCTGATTGATGCATAGTCTAATATACTTTATGGTAGGATATTGGTTTTGTACGCATTAAAATTGTCCAGAATTTCCATCCCTGGAAACATTCAAGATCAGGTTGCACAGGGCTCTGAGCAACCTGATCTGGCTAAAGATGTCCCTGCTCACTGCAGGGCCTTTAAAGGTCCTTTCCACCCCAAAGCATTTTATGATTCTGTGAAAAAATAGAAACATTTTGCAGGAGGTAGTCATCAGTCTTTCCGGCTTTCTTCAGTTCTTTATGCCATTGTAACTTTTATGCCTATTCTTTCTTGTGTATGTGGATTTAAATAATTACTGTGCTGTGTGCAGAGGAAACGTTGTGTGCACCCCCAGATGTTACATATTTTCAGGAAACTTGTTAAGGTGTATGAAAGAACATGTGTCATCCTCATGTCTGATTTAATTCTGTATTAAATGCTGATTCCTTTAGTAGAACAGAAGTGTAGCTGCTGTTTACACAGATGTTTGATGTATCCATTTGTGCCATGGAGATGAGTATTGTGGCTACAAAGCTCCTGGACTTTCAGCAATGAACGTAGCTAGGCATTGGTCTAGTTAAGAGGTCCTCAGGTATCTTTCTCTCCTTTTTATAGAGACACTATATGGATTCAATGTCCCTGAAAATTGAGGTGTCTCAGGGCTTGCTCAGTGCTGTGCAGTTTGTGGCCCATAAAATGAGGCAGACCTTGACATTGGTCAGGATGCTCTCAGGTCTTTTAGAAGAACATTGGCAGAGCCCTCTGTTGTTACTGTTTGCGACTTTCAATGTTTCTTCATTAGATTCTTAAGCAGCACTTGGGAAAAACCTCCTTTGTTCATCCTTGCATCTTTGTATTTATGTGTATGCATAAATGTCAACTACTGAGGTGGCTACTGCATTGGTGACGAAGGTGGATGAAAGTCCCCTATTTGAAGTTTGGTTTGACTGTTCCAAAATAGAGTGAGACGGGGTCAGGGTGCTGCTGCTAACTTCTGTTGTTGAAGAAATGCCAGTTTCCAAATTTAGTGTTACAAAACCAGGGAAGGATTGTTTTGCTAAGAGTATATGAAATAGGTCTGTATTCTAACACTCAAAGTCTTTTTGATTATTCAGGAAAAATCAAGATAGGATGTATAGGAAATGTACAGTGCAACTATGTACAGACTGCAGACATCTCTGAAAGCTGCAAATTTTCAAGACAGTTCATTTTGTTTTAGTAGAACTACGTTCTTGCTTCGTAGTGTTGTAAGCATTTGAATGGCCTCGTGACCCATCCACAGAGATACCACTTCTTATAAATGATTTATGATATTTTTAGAGTAGCATAGTGGTAAGATCTCTCTTTAGTCACCACATCATTGCTCTTTGTAGGTCTGAAACGCTGGTAATTTCATGAGTTAGTGACTATATATATATATATATACTCATAGATGTTGCTTTACAATGGATGAAATAGTTCTTAGTTCCAAGGTACTCCACCAATTGAGTTGATTCGGATATATTTAATGAGAAGGTTCTGCAACGTTGTTAACTGATAAAGTGAAATGTACATTACTTTCAATAGTAAGATAAGAACACCACACTGTTGAAAATCTCATTCATATGAAGGATCATGATTTGATAAGGTGAGTTATTCCTGACTTAGTATGTTTAGTATTTCATAGTCCAGGATTTTTGTTTACCAGACTAATATTAAACCTAGTGATTCAAAAAGAAATTTTTCTCTTGAGGGAATTCTTAGCATTTTGAGAACTAAATTTTTGCATGACTCAATTTTCATGTATCAAGGATACTGCAGTTTACAGGGTGCACAGTCAAAGCATGGAATTTTTTAAGGGACTGCTGGACCTGAAGCTGCCCTCGTACAGGTTTCTTACGATCAAAATAGTTTGGGTTCAGGCTGAGATAGTCCTGTTATGGAGAGTGTTGGAAAGTTAGGCTATCAAGGACAGTGGACTAGTGCTTAGGCAAAAGCAGAAGTGTGGCTATATAATTTCACAAATTAGCTCTAATATTTTCAGTTTTAATTACAGGGGCAACAGGTTTAATACTAACAAGAGAATGAGAGCACAAGAGGACACTTACTGTGGCTTCTTTTAATCTTCTGAAATCTATGTGCAGGTATGCATTTATTCCATTGTATGCACCAGGCAGGGTTATTCCATGTATTAGCAAGACAAATAATACAACATAAGGCAAAGTGGCTGTTATCCAAACAACCTGCAGACAACAGAGATCCCAAAAGTTAATCAGTTGTTACAGAAGATTTAAGAATGTAGGAAAAATACAGCTGTCGCTTTCTTAGTTTTGTCCATTCAGTTCTATGGAGAACCTCTTTATAGGATGTCTTGGGGGAAAACGCTGTTATGTGCCGTAAGTCTTTAGGTATGTATGTTTACAGATACCAGTAGGAGACAGTTTTGACAAACAGACGACTTGGAGTGCTTATACATTACCAGTGTGTGTTGGACTGCTGATTACCTGTTCAGCTACATATTCATTTACTAAACAAGTGCAGTCATTGCCTGACGTTAGGTGATACTTTCATGAAAATGTACAAAAAGCTCTCAGATGTATCCAACCCTAGAATTTCTGTTGAGGTGTCTTCTGAGGGATGTCAAAGAGTAATTTCAAATTACTTTCATCGTCATGGCATTTTATAGAATAAAACTAGAGCATCTTAAACCATTGAAACTTTAGTACATCTGCCTAAGAATAGGAGGCACATGTAAGACAATTTGAAGTCTTTCAAAATATTTTCTGGATGAGACCACTAAT